AAAGTTTACATAAAGCTTGTTTATGGTACAGTAGTAATGCAAATGTACAGTGAAACTAAGTTTCTGGCTCACACATTTAAAACGCTATGAAAAAACGAGCATGACAGACTACCGCAAACAAAAGGGAAACTGTCGAAGAGACCGTGTTCTGAAGCCTACATGTGACACACATGCTGTGTGTTCAAATTTGCGCGCACGGGAAATTTAAGCTGCGGTCGGGTGCGGAGTCCAGCCGCGTTCTTACTGGCGTCAGCTTTCTCTTTTTCTTCGCGCTCTCACGTCCAGATGGCGTTTTGCGATCCTCTGACCTTTCACATTAAAACTTTTCACGCATAATGGCTCATCCCGTCCTCCCTTTCCTGCTAAATCCATCTTTTGAATCGCGACAATTTTTTTGTACTCACGATGCCTAGGTAGCCGCCACCCCTTATTCCTCGGCGCTCTGGACTTTCGGCGTAAAACACGTACCAAATGTTTTAGTTGTTACGTAACCGACCGCGCTTCAGCTCTGCCCGCACAGACGAGCACTTCACAAAGACACCGCGTGAAGGAATGAACTGCCATCTCATTTTTCATTCAGTGCCGACCCACAAGAAAAATTCCAATTTTCAGTTTCTTTCCCTAGCTATCTCAATAGTCTCGCAATAAGTAGGCGACAAATGAGTGATGAACAAGAATAACATAAATATACTTAGTTTTGCTATACAACATGCCTCCCCTCTGTTGCATCGATCTGTTTAGCATACTCGCTCCAGTCGCCTCACGGTCTTTATCCGATGATTGCGCTCTCATTGCCGTTCTCCTAATTTCAGACGGTTTTTGCGATTCCTGATACTGATGATGGTCTTCCTCACGACGATCGTGACACTGCTCCTCCACTCGCTGCTGTACCGGTAGTCGGAACAGTCGCTTACTTTCTTTATCAGCGTTAATCGAGTGACTCAGTCCTTGGCCCCACGCAGGTCTTGAGTCTGTGCGAATCTAATACTGTAGTTAACCCATTCGTGACAATGTCCGCCACTGGTGGTGGACACCGAAATGTCCACTTCGGACCATGTCCACCATATGTGGCGGACGGGCTTTTGATGAAATTTTTAGAAACAGTTCGAGTTCTTCGAGGAACTTTTCCCAGTGGTACAAGTCTTCATACCTTTGTTAATTTATGCAAATAGTGGACCAACGAGATCTTCAGATATAAGGGTCCCAGGCACGATTCAACTAGCACCGCCAGTTTGGCACCAGCACTTTTTTCATCAAAACCGGGGCGCCAGATGGTGCCGCGCCAACTC